ATCTCTTTTTCTGTCCTCTTGCAATTTATCTCACAGAATTCCCATGGCTTTCAAAATAAGGAAAAATTTCCTCCTATGCCCGTGAGGCTTTAGTTGGTCTGATCGTCCCAAGGCCTTCAGCTTCCTCCCCCACCAGGCTGCTTGCCGCTCTTTCCCACCCCGCGCCACCCTTGATTCGGTGCCCACACGCCTTCTCCCTGCCCCCACAGGGCTCTTACAAAGGCTGTTCCCTCTGCCTGACATGTCCCCCCACCTTGCGTCTCCCAGTGAACCCTAACTCATTTTTGTATCTCACTCGGAGTGTTCCCTTCTCCGCCAAGCCTTCTCCACCGTCCCTGACTCGGCCAGTCCCTCCCCCAGAGCCTCCTACAGCCACCACCCCCCACCCTTTGTCCTCCACAGCACAGGTCAAGGTCGTGGCTTTCCATTGGTTTGTGAGATGATATGGTTAAGGATCATCAGCTCCCTGAGGGTCGGGGTTATGTCTGCCCTTGCTCGCCATCGTCTCTCCACTGTCTAGCTGGGTGCTTGGCACATAGTAGGTGTTAGATGAAACATGTGCTGACCGCTGCCAGGGAGGGATGGCCAGTAGGCACCAATACGATTAGGAGGGAGTCTGGAGGCCTGGACAGAGGAGCCCGGATCTCCTCGGGGAGAGAATGCTGATGGGGGTGGGGGAGCTGGTGCCACCTGGAAAAGAATGGAGTCACGGGAAACGAGGGCAGGGGCTTCCGCGGAACACCCAGTATCCTTCCGCCCACCCCACTATCCATAAAGCAGGAGCTGGGCCTGGACTGACGTGGCTGGAGAAGCTCCCAGGTCCTACCACTCCCACTCGGGGCCACTGGGGCTGAGCTCAGTGGAAACAAATGTCCTTTGACTTTTCCCAGCCCTGTCCTGGTGGGCCAGCAGCCCCTCCCTCCCAGCCTCTGCCCCCCACACCACCTCGTTCTTTCTCCCTTTGACTGATGGGGTGATAGGAAGGATGGAGACGTGGATAAGGTTAGGAGGAACATGGAGGGCAGGTGGGCTCCTTGGGGAACCTGGGCATGGGGTGGGGGTTACCTTGCACACAGACCCAGAGGGAGTCTCAGAGGAAACGTGGCCTGCAAGGCAGGGACAAGCCTGACTAAAGCGTGGACCTTTGAGCCGCCAGCCTCTCCGCTGGGGAGGTGTGTTCTCAGGGCCTCAGGTGAGCTGGGGAAAGCTGGACCGGAGGGATCTGGGCACAGAAGGGGGAGGAACGTGGCTCTCTTTTTTTCCTTCTTTTTCTTTCCCTCCATCTCCCCGGAGAGTTGGCCTTTCCTCTGTCCTCCTGGGACGCAGAGACCCAGGGCCCTTAGGAATTCTCAAATCCCGTCACTACCCTCAAGGAATGAGAATTAGGTTCCATTGCTGGGAAAGGAGGAAGGGAGGGCAGCGCGGAGGGAGGAAGAGAGAGAGAGGTTATTGGGAGGGGAAGGGTCACAGGCCCAAATTCCTGCGCTCCTGCAGCTCCAGTCCTTCTGAGAAACAAAGAAACAGAGAAAGTGATTTAGAGTCAGACACAAATAGAGCCCGAATTACAGAGATGGCAGGGAGATGGGAGAGACGTGGAAAGACGCTGAAAGAGAGAGAGAGGATCCGACAGAGACAGAGGGCTCTGCTTGCGCCTGCAGCGATTCTGATGTTATCTCTCTGCAGGTGCCTCTCCCCCCTCCGCAGTCCCCAGCTCTGCCCCTCCTCCCTCTCCAGCCCCACAGCCAGACACCCGTGTCTCTGCCTTCCGTCTCTCTTCTGCACCAGGCCTCGAAGTGGAGTTAACAGACTCTTGGGGCTTAAGGCAGAGCAGTGGGGAGAAGAAGGGAGGAGGCCCAGTGCCCAGAGGACAGAGAGAGTGGCACCACCCCGTTCACACTGCCGGTGACTGGGCTGCTGTGTTCCCGTTCCAGTCTCTTGTGACCGTCCCTGTACATGCATGTCTGTGCAGAGGCATGCACACACACACACACACACACACACACGATCTCCAGGGAGGCAGGCATAAGTCTCATCTAGAGCCAGCCCATCTGCGTGTCCACCCATAGGAGTCGGTTCTCCAGCACCACCTGGGGGAGGGGAGGCTGCCCTGTGGTTTCTGTGGAGTTATCTGCAAGCCTGTGTGTGCATCTTGATCTGTCCTTCTGTGCCTCCATCTCGATCTCCTGGTCCCCCAGTCCTTCTCTGTGGGAAGTCTTCTAAGGCGACAGTGGTGGACTGAAGTCTCAGTAACTTCTGAACTCATCTATCTGAAGGTTTTGTCAGGGGAGCATAAGGGCAGAAATCACTGCTCTGGCTCTGTCCAGATGCCAGCCAGCTCCTAGGTGAGGGTGCAGAGAAGGCAACAGGCAGTGAGCAGAGGCAAGGTTTCCCTTGGAGCCCAGGCCCTGGGCACTGGGGCTTGAGGAGGCATGTGCATCACAGACTACGGCCCACCCCTCCCCTGCCCCAGTGCTTAGGCAGGCACCCTGAGCCATGGATTCTGGAATGGGACTCTGGGGCAGGCAGACAGGACAAGGAGCTGAGGAGTCCAGGGATGGACAAATACTCTGCAAGATCTGACCAGAGAGAGCACTGCAGGAGGGGTGGGGCGATCTGTGTGTGTTTGTAGGAAAGGTGGGGGGTGGGGGCAGAAAGGCCGCCTGCGGGGGAGAAGTCTTCTTGGCAAACGCCCCAGTTTCCTGAGCTGATCCCTGCTCCCTGCCACTGCTCCCAATTCTGTTGTTTCAATAACATCATTTTTATCCACCCCACAGAGAGACTATGTCTCAGAAGGGGGAGGCGGGGGGCAGGGCTAGGGCACGAGGGGGTGGTAATAGAGAGAGACTGGGGTCTGGAGGCAGCTGGGACCAGATTTGGGGCGCTCCCTCCTCAGGCAGAGGCAGGGCGGTCCCAGAGCCCTGGTCCCCTGATGACAAAGACAAATACATTAAAATTCTTGCCTCTGAGAAGAATGCAGGATAAGGAGAGCATTTCATAATCTGCAATAACAGTAGCAGGGTGGGGGCGGGGGTTCAGAACCCAGGCGGTGGCTGGGGTGGGGGGGGGGCTGGTCATTGGCCACCTGCAGCCTCCAGTGACCCCTACAGGGCCCCCAACAGTCTGTTGGGCACCATCTGGCCCGAGTGTGTGCCTAACCTGGACACGTCTTTGGATGAGCACTGCCCGGAGCTGGGCTTGCCTTGCAGAAACAGCAACTGTGCATGAAATTAATAGGTGCAGGGACTGCGCATGGCATCTGGATGCTATGAAGGCGGCACTTGGGCCATGCCCTCCTCACTGACTCCCTCAGCCACCAGCCCCTCCCCCAGGGTCTCCTCCCCTTCTCTAGAGTGTTCTGGGCCCTCAGCAGAACTCTCTGTACCCAGGAATTAGACCAACAGCTCAGACACCAGGGCCCTGGGGCGGGGCTCCTGGCAAGCCCGGGGGCTTTCCTGTGTGCCTAGGCTGACATGTCTCCATTTCCCTTCTCCCTTCCTCATCCTGCCCTTCCTGGTCCAGAGCTGCCCCCTCCTGTGGGGTAGACTCCCCTCGTCTTTTGTCATAACCTCTTAATCCCCAGGCTCCTCATCCCCATCCACTCGTTTCCACATTCCGGGGTACTCAGAATCTCTCTGCTCACCAGGGGTGTTTTTCTTGGAAGTGGCTTCACTCCCCACATTCAGGCCAACTCCCCCCCCCGCCCCCCCCCCACACACTTGCACTCAAACCACCAAGAGCTTTCCTCTGGGAGCTTGAGGTGTCTGCCCCTCAGGCCTGAGGTCCTGGATCTGTCCTCCCTGCCCCAGTACATTCCTAAAGGTTGATGACTGCTCCAGATAGATGACGGTAGTTGGTTCGGCGACTGGCCCTCGCTGAGGAATGTCCCGCACCACCTGTCCCTCAGCACCCCTGGGGCATGTGGGGCCGGAGGGGAGGAGCGCGGGCTGCAGCCGTTGCCAGCCCCGAGGCCGTGATGAATGGAGCTGTCCCTCCTTCCCACGGAGCCTTTGATCTCCCCACGTGGGGAGGGGGCCAGGGGCATCAAAGACATTTTTGCGGCATTAGAGAATCGAATAAATGCCATCTCACCTGCAGCTGGCTCTCCTACCCCTTCTGGCCCCGCCAAGCTGGGGACGCAACGGGAGGCGAGAACACGCGGATGCGTGAGGCCCGGCTGCAGCGGGTCCTGATCCCTCAGTGTCTTGCAAGCCTGCAGCCTCCGCTCGATCGCTCGCTGACGCGTGCGAGCACTTGAGCGCAGGCCATCAGGAGATTCCTCTAGCTCTCTAATCTCCCCTCCGCACCCCCCTCCCCGGAACGCGGGCTCGAAGAGGCGGGGTGCCTGGGGAGCAAGAATGGAGGCCTAGGGCTTCCTCCCTTTCTCAAGGAGAGGCTGAGAGAGGGGCGCGAGACGCGGAGGCGGGGTCTGGTTAGAGGTGACCCCCTCCGGAGTCCGCCCGTCCGACCCTCGAGCTCGACAGACAGCCCTCCCCGGAGCACCCAGAGCCCCGGGCGGACTTCCTCTCCTGGCCCCCATTCCAGCATCACCCTCCGCACCGCCCTCCCCGCCCCCCCCCCCAACTCCCTCATTCTTGGGAAGTTTTCTCTCTTTACAGTCAACAAACCTGTCAAACGTCTCCCTTCCAGCCCGTCCCCCATTCCTCAGCTCCTCTTCTCCCCCCCCCCCCCCCGGCACCCTGCTCCACCCTACTTCCCCGCCCTCCTTGCCCCCGACTCCGCGCGGCGGCGGCGAGGGGCTCCCATTCCGCGAGAGGCGAGGTGAGGGGGCGAGGCGGGCGGGACCCGCCGCCACGAGCGCTCTCGGGCCCCGCCCCGGACCCTCGCTCCCCGCCCTCCGCGGCGCTCCGCGCCTGCCGCCCCGGGGCGCAAGGCTACCTCCCGAGAGTCCCGCCGCCCGACTGTCGCAACTGCCACCCCAACAGCCTCCCTGCCCCCCGCCCCCGCCCGGGCCCCGCTCCCCTCCCACCTCCGCCCCCGGCTCTGATTTCTTCTCCCGAGCGAGCTCGGCCGGAGACACAGGCGCTGGCTGCCCCGTCCGCTCTCCGCCTCCGCCGCGCCCTTCCAGCCCGGGATGGGCCCTCTTGCCGCCACCGGAGCCATTGCCTCCCGGCCGCCGCCGCCGGAGCCGCACTCGCCCTGAAGCCCCTGCGCGCACCGGCCGGCCCCGCAGCCTCGCCCCTTGCCCGCACCGGCGGGCCTCAGAGCGGTCACGATGCTGCCGCCCGTGTCCTCCCGCCTCGGGCTGCTGCTGCTGCTGCTCCTGTGTCCCGCGCACGTCGGCGGACTGTGGTGGTGAGTCCTGCATCGGGCTGTCCCGTCCCGGTGCGGCTCCGGACGCTCGAGGGTGGGGACCTCCTGCCGGACTGCCCGGAACCGCAGCCCCGCCGCCCCCCGGCTCCACCTGCGCGCTGGGGCGGTGCGGGGGAGGTGCGTACCGCTCTCCTGCCGGCCTCCACCCAGGGCACTTCGTGAACCGCCACTTGGGCGGCTCTAGCCTACCCCCGCACGTTCGATTGTACTTCCTCCTCCCGTGTCCCACACCCCGCCTCCCTCCCAGGTTATGCGCTCAATCCAGGTCACCAAGGAACTGGTGGGTGGATGGGAAAGAGCTACCAGAGAGCCCGAGGGAAGATCTGTAGTCAGCGATCCGAAGAAGAGAGTGACGAGGAGGGCTCTGGATTTAAGGGACCCGGTGGCCCGGGTTTGGGGAAAAGAGAGGAGCAAAGTAGGAAGCCATAGGCAGGTAGGGTCACACGGCCGCCTCTTCCCCGCCCCACTTTGCTCACCGATCCATCCACTTCCCTCTGGGCTCCCTCAGTGTGGTCGGCGGTGGCAGGAGGAAGGGGGAAACTGAGTCAGGACCTTGGCTTTCTCTATTTCCTCGTCCCCGGACAAAGAGGAGGAGGAAAGGGACTCAGGCGCCTGGACCTTGCAGATACGGGGTCAAGGATAAAGTGAATTTGCAGCTCAGAATGTACTGGGAACCGGGGAGGGTCTGGTGAAAAGGACTGAGGCTTGGCCAGCCAAGGGATGAGGACATCTTTCCGGAACTGGCCGGAGCTAGACAGACACCCTAGGCAGCCAAGGTTGTAGGAACTCTGAGCCTTGCGGACTTGGGTAGGGGCTGGGAAGGTGGGTGCCCAGTCGGGACCGCTCAGACATCTGGACCCCCTAGACTTTTTTTTCCTTCCCAGTGTCCAGAGCAGCGGAGACCGTCCCGGAATAGCTTTGGTGTTTAAAGAGGAGGGACTTGGACAAGATCACTGACGCATCAGCCAATCCTAAGAAGGCATGGCCTTGCTCATTTGCATATAGCCATGTCATTGGCTGGATTTTCTACACTCCCCTCCCCTCATACGCACACACACTTCGGGGGATTTGGAAGGAGGGGTGGAGCGGGCAGATCAATCTCTTCTAGGGCATTTTCCAGCCTTTTTCATCTCTTGGCACACAGAAACTAATTACTAAAATTCTGTGGCACAGCAAAATATATATATTTGCCATTCTGACAAAAATAGTCATAAGTTTGATTCATTCACACTGGGTGGCTATGGTGTTGGCTGCTGTCACTGTTTTGACAATCTAAGGGAAGAGAGGTCAGTGCGCCTGACTAAATAGTCAGGTATTGCATGGTTTAAAGTTTCTTGTGGCACACAGGCACACAGGTTGACAATTGCATTTTAGGGAGATAGAGAGGAGGGTGTTCACGCAAGGAGCTACTGGCCGAGATCCCTCTTCTGTGACGCGTGAGAGCATCCCTCAGTGGTGTCAGTGAGGGGGCAAATCTAGGACGACCCAGGTCCTGCTAGGCAATATGCATCCTTCTATCCTGGTTTAGCATAATGCAGTAGCAGCTTTGAAATAGGCCTGAGATCTGACCTTCTCCAGTGAAGTTTGTAACTTTGGGCAAGGCACTCTTTTCCACTGCTCGCCCCACCTCCCTCAACGTCTCAGCTGTAAAATAGGGAAGCAATTTTTCTGTCTAGCAGGCTTGGCGGTGGCATTAGGTGGACGACTTACAAAATGATCTGACACTGATAGATACTCCTTAAATTTGAGTTCCCTCTTTCACACCCCAGGTTCTGTCCAGAGACCTCGTGGGTATGAAGGGGAATTCGTTTCCATTTAAATCCAGGATCCCACCCTGGCCGGTGTGGCTCAGTGGATTGAGCACTGGTCTGTGAACCAAGGGGTCCTGGGTTCGATTCCCAGTCAAGGCACATGTGTGGGTTGCAGGCCAGGTTTATGGTTAGGGGCATGCAAGAGTAAACCGGTTGATGTGGCTCTCACACATCCATGCTTCTCTCTGTCTCTGTCTCTGTCTCTGTCTCTGTCTCTGTCTCTCTCTCTCTCTCTCTCTCTCCCTTTCCCTCTCTCAATAAATAAATAAATAAATAAATAAATAAATAAATAAATAAGATCCAGGGTCCCAAGCAAAACTTTGTAAACATCTTGCTTCCCAAACACCTTTCCTAACTTTTCCCTTTCTCAAGGTATGGGGACAGGGCTTTCTCGCTGATAGTGTTGCCTTCCCTGCCTTCCCTCTCCATTCGTCCAAGTTGTTCTCGTGCTCTCAGTTACAATGACACTTCCTCCATGAAGCTGTCCCTCTGTCTTCCCTCCCTGGCCTCCTCTGTGCTCCTGAGGCACCGTGCATTGGGCAACTATGCCAGCCACTGCATTTTGACAACCATGTCCTCTGGTGGCTCTCTTCCCTGGTTCTGGAAGGCAGAGGCTTGGCCTTCGGGGCCCTGGAGGCTAAAGGTGCAGGGGGCAGTTTTATGGAGTGTTGCTGCATTGGTTGATTCACCTTTCTGGGATTTGTATCTGCGGGGGTTCCTTTGTTCAGGAGGGGCTGCTGGGTGAGAGCCAGACCAGAGGGAGGGAGACCTGGTCTCTTGGAGACTGACCCTGAAGCTGGGAAGCAAGGAGTGGGGGAGGAGGGGAGGAGGGCAGGTGTGGGAGAACACAGAAGCCTTCATGGCCACAGCTGCAGGGTGAGCAGGGTGAAGAGTGAGGGGCTGGGGTGATAAGGCATCCAGAGACTGCCTCACTCAGATGCTTCTCAGAGAGGACCTGCCTCTCCTGACTGCCTCGGCCCCCCCACTACCCTGTCTGTTTCTGATACTTCATTCCTCCGGTCTGAGCCCAGATTCCCTTTCTCAGGATCTTTGACCCTGCTTGCTTGTACTCCTGTCCCCACCACACCCCGTCATTGCCCTCCAAGATCAGGATCCGGCTGGTGGACCAGACCCAGCACCCCTGGGTGGCCTGAGGCTTCTACCTCTCTTTATCCTCCCCTCACCCCCACCCTACTCCGGCCCAGCTTCACTTTGACTAGAGCTTTTTTGGGCCAGGAACTTCCAGGCTGTTCCCTGATGTCTGAGACCTGCTTGCTGGCCCTCTTCTCCCTACTTCTTAGACAAACCTGGCTAGATCTGGGCCCCGTGGTGGACCAGAAAGCAGCTGGACCTGCAGTAGCCCCCTGCAGTCCACTCTGACATGCTGGCAGCAGCCAGGCTGGGAGCAGAGAGGTCCCCAGGAACTCTGAATGGCAGGACTGTTCTGCTGGAAAAGGAGGGTCATGGAGGGAAGTGGCCTGGGCCCTGGAATAGGCTCAGGGGCCTAGACTCCAGGTTCCAGAGATTTCCCTCTCACTTCTTTCCCTCTCTCCTTCTTCCCCTAATGCAATTTATGCCTTTTAAATTCTGCCTCCAGCCTCTCTGCCTATCTCTGTCACAGTGATTCACAGAGTAACGCTCTCTTTGTGAATTGCTGAACCCCTGATTCCAGGCCATTGGCCAAGCTGCCTTGGGACCATCTTGTCCAGCCAACACTCTGGCCCTGACAGAGCCCACCTTGAGAATGAGAGAGAGAGAGAGAGAGACAGAGAGAGAGACAGAGAGACATAGAGACAGAAGCTATAGCTTTCTTAGTCCCCAGCTCCCTTCTGTCTGCTCCCTGTGCCCCTCCAGAAAGTTCTTCTTAATGTCTGGCTCATCTTTTTATACTTTCAATTCATGGATGCAGTTTCACAGAATAGCCAAACCAATCTCTTGTTTTCTCTCTCCCTCTTTCCTCTTTCTGTTTTATATTTTCTAAGAAAGAAACTAACCTTCCCCCAGTTCCACTGGGAAAAACACCACCCAATCTCACTCCCTTTCTGCATCTCCTCTTGCTTTTCACTCCCCCCTTCCCTTGTAGAAACAGGAACCACAGGCCAGGACAGCCTCATGCCCGGTCCCACAGGCAGGCAGGGAAAAGACCAGACCCAGGTCTTCCTGAAACCCAGGTTTTCCAGCTGCGATCCCCACCCCAGGCTAAGCCTGGCCACACTTTCCCACCCCATCTTTATCTGGGGCCCCTCATCTTCTGTGAGCAGTCCTGTTGCTGGTCCCCGCCAAGCTCAGGGTGGGGTGGGGGTGGGGTGGTCATCCAGCCCCACCCTCCGGGCCTCCCGCCTTGGCAGCTTCCCTGGAGGAAGACAATGGGGCTGTGAGCAGAAAAGGGCAGGGGCAAAAGGAGGCTGGCTCAGTCTGGGCCAGAGCATGCCCTGAACCCACCAGAGTCCTGGCACTGTGACACTTCCTGGGGGGGGGGGTGCGGCCCCTCCTTTCCTGTTCTCATCAGAAGCCAGGAGTTGGTGGGGGGAGGTCAGTGAGAGGCTTGATCGCCAGGGCCCATCAGGGGGATTCGAATGTGTACTTTGAAGAAGAAATGCAGCTGCGGAGGGGATGAGGCGAGGGCGGGGCGGGCAGCCAGGCTGTGGTCAGGCTGGCAGCGGGGCACCCAGCCAGCCAGAGCAGGAGGCACTTGGAGAGCAGAGAAGCCTGCCCCTGGGGCCTGGGGAGAGCGCCCTCTAGCCTGAGCCCTCCTTCCTGCCTGGAGTGGAATTGGGGGAGACCTTGGGTGTCGGGGACTGCCGAAGGGGCAGCCAAGGGTACAGAAGGTTGCTAGCAGGGTCCTTCCAGCTTCCACCTGGCCTCTCTGGCTGTTTCCTCCAACTCGGAGCTCTCCCTTTATTCCAGAAATTAGACCAATAAAGGGCTTAGAGATCATCGGGTCCCATCTTTTCACTCACAGTAAGAAGTCCAGCCAAGCCCAGGGATAGGAGGTGGCCCAAGGCCACACAGAGTGTAGGTAGCTGAGGGGTGGAGCCAGGAGTCCACCTCCTGCTGGGGCTCTCCCCCTGGGTGCTATGGGGGGAGGCAGTCAGGAAAGGGGTACAAGGCCTTCTACAGGCCCTTTCTGTTCCCCCATGCTCACCCCAGCATGGGAGCGCCCCACCTCCA